TATACATATATGTTTATACATATTATAAATATGGTTATAATATCTAATGATAGATATAGATATTGATGTGAAAAAGAACATTTTTTTTAATTTAATATATTAAAGAACTTTAAGAGCAATTTTAAATATAGTAGAAATTAAATACTTTTTGCAAGACATACTATAAATAGTAAACTTGTAGTCTCTGAAAATTATATATATATATATATATATATATATATATATATATATATATATATGTATGTATGTATGTATTAAATATTTTATTTATAAATCAATTTTTTAAAAATTTTTAAAAATATTTCAAACGCTACTTGAATATAATTACATTTATTCAGTGCAGAAAATTGATTAAATTTTTAAGATATGGACATAATAGCATTCGTTTAATTGAACATGCGAAGACCACACCTGAAAGCTAAAATTATCCTTAATTAAGAATTTATATATAAACATACAAATATCTAATGTATTCAAAAATAATATGAATTATGATAAATTATGTGTACAAGGAAGAAATTCTAAGTGCAAAAATTATCATATCGGACGTTACCAGCCGTTACTCTTTAATTAATGTTGTAAAACATTATATATAATTAGATGTATATTTTTAAATTGAACAATAATTGCTATCTATTCGATTTTGTAAAACTAGTTGATTTCCAATCTGTATATTGTAGTATCATAGCAAAGAAAATTTTCTCACAATTGTATACGTGAATGTAATTATTCGAATTACATCGGTGGCAAGCTTTAGAAATTTGTACACATTTTTCCATGTTTACATATATCTCTAACGAGTATATATTTTAAGTATAGTCTACTTAACGATCGTAACGTAATAACGAATATAACTATAACGAGAATTTTGCTGTGTAACGTAATAACGAGTATAATTAACGAGAATTTTGCTGTGTTACTGCAATAAGTTCGCAAAGAATGGTAAAATTTAAATATTCAACTGCAAACGAGTATAAAATTCAGCTTGACGTTGAATTTACTGTTTAAATGAGAATTTATTGTACAGATAGAATTTACATACGATAACTATAAGATACCGCTTTTCTTCGTGGAAAATACGTTAATGTACAGAACGCAAATGTTTACGATTAAGAATAAGGAACGATGAGAGAAACGAGATATTTGTATTGTATGTACTACATCACATACGATATAACACATCGATATTAAAGCTCGTTCAACCTCGACGGTATTCTCACGAGTACCGTTCGACGTAGCATTTACACCGAGCGCTAATCATTTCTTCATTTTGTTCATTTTGCTCATTAGTGTTCATAATTAGCGTTCATAATTTGTTTCATAATAACGGTAATCTCTCGAAGAAATCTCGAATAAAATATTTTTTACCGAAATATTTCAATCTCTTTTCAGTTGTACTCAGAAAGTAGTTTCAATGATATTTTTGGGGGGAAAAAAAAGGGAAAATAAATAGAGAAAAGATATTATTCGTTGTCGCCATTGGATCAGTCGATCGAGTGATGCGATAATGTACTGATTGCGGATTGCAGGGGATGTGACGGGGGAACAAAAAAATCTGTTCTTAAAGTCGCCAGCTGGGCGATGCACCGTTCGCTCAAGCGGCGCGTTCTCGGTCGCAAGGTGAGCCGGAAATATTTGAGTTGCCGAGGGGAGAACGGCAAACGCGTGCAGGTGCCGCGCGTCCGATGGCTTTCTTTTCGCGAGGTGATCAGTTATTACCATGCCGACACGTATCTTATCTCCAAAATATATACGCAAAACTCCCTCCCCCGAAAAATATATGCAAGTCTCTAAGTCTCGTTTCGTCTCGAGCGAGCGAGCGCGTCTATTTTAATTAATAAAAATTCTAGAAACGCAAACTGTTAACGAGCACTACTCTGTCGATTCGAGATCTTTCTCTCACAATATCGTGATTTCGTTTAGGCAAATTCTCGCTTAGGAATTCTCGTTTAGGGCATCGCCTTATTTTACGTTTCTCTACGATTGTTCGCAGAGCAGGTAAGTCGTGGCTGGGAACTGAGACGTGTCCTTCCCGGAAAAACCAGGCCTGAACGATGCCTGGTTGTACATATCCGATTTAGGATATCGAGTAAAAAGCGACCGCCTCGAGAGACCCTAGTGGATCCGGCGTGACAATCGGATCCGCAAGTTTGAATACCGCATCCTCTCCGTCCGCAGGACATTGCTGGCGGTCTCGGCGCTTGAGTCATCGACTCAGATCGCATTATGACTCAGACGCGGACGGGCGTTATTGGCTAAGGAATTGGTTTCTAACAAAGGAATGTTGTTGCAAGCGGCCGAGCAGCCGAGCGCTGTCGCGTCTGTCGTCTTCGTGCCGCTTTCTCCGCTCGCCGAGTCGCTCGAGCGAGTAATTACGAGCCTTGGATGATTACAAACTTTCCGATCTTTTCCAGCATATCGTTCATGTTTCTTAGGATATTATCACGGAAGTAACCATGGAAACTCGTCAATAAATTTATTTGTTCGAAATTAATTTTATGACCTCGCGCAAACGCATCGCGAATGAAATTTGATAGCAATGGATTCTGATGCGTTTCGTTCCTGATCTTTTAAGGTACACCTGCGATGAAGAAGCAAAATTAGAAAAATTTTGTAGTACAAAACTAATCGCCATGAAGCTTGATACAGATATAGTATGTACATACAAGGTAAAATATGAAGAAATCTAACCAAAATCAAAAGGTTAAAAGAGAAGATCCTGGTCAAAAACCAGAAAATGAGTATGCTGAGTCATGTGACGGCAGTGCCCATTTGTCACTCATACAATCTCACTTTGGAAATAGAATACCATTGTTCGCGAATGATCTACTAAATAACCTTTGGCGATTGGCAGACTAAATATGTGCGAGATAATCTTCATTCAATTACTATAATTGATTCATCACATTCCCATTATCGATCTTCTGTTGCACCAAAAAGTTTTCTTCAGAGATCGATCACTTCGAAGTTTTCAGTATCTTCATATTTTCTTCGCTCTCCAAGCCTATGAGAATTATGCAAAAATGGACATCGACAAAATCGAAGAAAATGGATAAAATCTTGCCAATCACTAATCATTCATTTTATCAAAGTGTATGAACTAGACACACTTTCCATTCATATAGATGGCAAAGTTACAGTGCGATTTATGAGGAGTCGAATTTACGAACAATGCTATTTTATTGCCAAAATAAGATTGTATGAGTGGCAAGTCCGTTTTCTGATTTTGGATCGACTTATTTAGCGATTCGATTTTGATTAGATTTCTTCATATTTTATTATACTACTCTTTTATTATATATTTTACTACACTACTAAATATTTACATACTCTAATTATTACATATTTTATCTCATACTATATCTGTATCAAGTTTCATGATGATTTGATAGCAACGGGTTCTGATGCGTTTTATTCCTGAGATACACCTGCAATGAAGAAGTATGTAAAATTGGGAAAATTTTGTGGTAGTACAAAACCAATCGTCATGAAGCTTGATACAGATATAGTATGTACAAAGTAAAATGTGAAGAATTCTAACCAAAATCGAACAACTAAAAGAGAAGATCCCGGTCAGAAAACCAGAAAATGAGTACGATGAGTCATGGTGCTAGTGCCCATTTGCCACTCATACAATTTCACTTTGGACTTAGGATTTTTTTATATCACACAAAATTTTCCCAATTTTACCTACTCTTTTTACTCAATCGCCAGAACTCTCATCCCGCTTGTTCTGACGCGTTAGACTAATCGCGAGTTCTCGCGTGCGTATCAACGTGCGATTATTCATGTCGACACATCGCAAGTATTCCGAAGTAACGTTCCAGACCGACGTCCACGCGTGCGTCACGCGGCCGTGTGACGGATATCACATTCGCTCGAAACACGTGTGCGTGTGTCATCGTCGACGTCGTCTATCAATAAAAGGCCCGACTTGCGGGCATTGACGGTCGGAACGTACATATATATCGACAAATCGTCTTGCGTTAACATTACCGCAATACCATTCATGGCTTTCCACGATGCGAACGCACGCATTGCGTGCTGCGTTCCAACGAGAGAGAAAGAGAGAAGGAGGGAAAACAGAGAGGACAGGAAAAACGGGAGAATAGGTAGGTAAGCAGTTAGCGAGAAAATATTTTTCTGGAATATTCAACCGCTTCGAAGAGCCGTGACTTCTCCAACATGCAATATTCCGTCTTGAAAGGGTCGGACGTTCACAAAAAAGAAAAGGGAAACAAGAAGAAGAATGCGAACTGTACTCTCAGGCGGTCTGCAAATTCTGCACAAAAACGGACAAAAGCCCGGCTTATATCCTTAGCGGCACGTGGAAAAGCGTTGTCTACCTGCGTCTTCAATATAAGCTTTTCCATCTTTCTGTCTCCACGATGCGGTCGTAGACTTTACGAAAATAGAATATACTTGGAACAGAAAATATATGTATACTGCAGGTTATTCGATGTTCGTCAAATGAATTCCTAATAACGACAAACTCATGCGTTTTCTATATAATATTGCAAACTAATATCGAAATCACGTAAAATTACGGTCATTACGAGGTCACCAACGAGTGATAATGAGACATTATCTTTTGACTTCAACAGCGGGAGAAAGAAAAAAGAATTACGTTGCTCCCGCATAACTATAAATAAATACCGTTGTCATTTCGCCTGTGAAGCGAAATGCTACATCTCTTCTACACTTTCCGCATCTATATCCGTCGGGTGACCATAGAACGAGTACAGTAGCGAAGAGAGAGAGAGAGAGAGAGAGAGAGAGAGAGAGAGAGAGAGAGAGAGAAGAAGAACG